AAAAAGGGATTGGCCCAACCACCAGCCCTTTGGCAGGTAATATTTTAAGTTAATACTATATATCTTTGATTGTTAAAGTTACTCTCTTCATATTTTATATCATTCCATTACCAGCATTATTTTTTTGATTATAGCCTATGGCACATGTAACATTTTATATCTATTTTTTATAAAAGAAGTGTCTTTTAAAAGAGTCTTATCAAATTATCAATATATACTATATAATTATGTAACTATTTTATGAATTGAATTGATTTATTTATATCTAAGGGACCCCATTGGAATTAAGCCACAATGTGGCTTTATGGGTCATCCCAGGTAAAGGCCTAAATTAATCTAATCTGATCCAGTTTTAACACCTGACTGACTTCCAATTTTATGGCATAAATAACTTATATAAGAATATTTCCTTCTGTGATAATATATATACATATATGTCCAATCTGCAAAATGTGATAGAAGTGTATTATTTGCCTTTTACCTGAATAAATATTATTATTATTATTGTGTGGACATATGACCCTGTGTGACAATTAAAAGAAATTAGATAAAAGAAAACCATTAATATTGTCACAGACTTAGATAATCCAGGGACAGTATATAGTCTAATACCGTAATATTATAAAAAAAAAATCATGAAAAAATATTGAGAATAATATCAAATTTCATTGACTTAATTAAGTTTGTATTAAAATGAATGTAATTGTACAAACTTACATGAATTGGTATCACAATATCCATACAGTATATTACAGTATGGAAATAACCAGAGACGTTCTGATATTTGGCCATTCAGGGAGGTCTTTTTATTGGAAAGATGCTTAAGCAGGCCCATGTGGTTACTGATACTTATTTAACACTGTTATATAACAGAGTTCGGAACACCTTATCTAAAATAAAGACATTTCTCCAGGCCCGATTTATTTGGCCCATTCCGCCCTTTGGCCAAATGGTGAGCTCAAACTAAACCGGCTGCTAATTCGTATGATGCGACGGTGTAGTAAGTCACGTGATCGCGGACATAGCTGCATAAATTAACATGGCGACCAGCACGAGAAGGGAACGGTTCCCTTAGACTTTCTTCCAATTTTCGTCCTAATGTAGAGTCTCGGTGAGCCTAAAAGCCAAAATGTCGGACCATAGCGGTCAGGAACCGTCCATGGAGGATCTTAAAAGAGAGATCGAACGTCTCCAATCGGAATTATCGGAAACCACGACGGAAAAACTTCAGGCCGCAGAATATGGTTTGGCCGTGTTGGAGGAAAAACAACGTCTTCAGCAGCAGGTCGAGGAAATCGAGGCTCACAGTGAGACTATCAAGCATGAACTCGATTGTGCCAAAGAGGTATAATAGCTACTGACACACCTAATTGTTACTGAGGGGCGGGGTGGGCAGGTACCCGGCTCCATTCAATTAATTATTTTAAGGGGTCGTCTCAAAAACGAAAAAAAAAATGACAGGTGCCCGTGTGTATTGCTGTGTGTATTGTACACACATGTAGGTTATTTTTGGAAACTTTTACCCATTCGGGGGTAAGTCTTTTGTTTCCATAATTTAATCATGTTGATATATGGCTATATGCCTCACAGTGTAACCTTAACCTGTCAAACATACACATATTTATCAATAATGAATTATAAACACATGTCGTATGTAAGCATATTCTAAAATGTAGGTCTCTGAAATACAAAAGTTGATATCTGACACAAAATATTGCATATATCTTACATCAGAACAGTTGTGTATATATATCTATTAAAAATGGTTTTATTTCGATAACTTTTTTTACTGACCTCATTGATACTTCAGTATCACTGCACCATGTAGTATCGTAGTCAGTTTCCTCTGGCCCTGACACCAGACCTCTGGCCCTGACACCAGACTTAGACATTTAGTCATATATAGCTATCGAAATATCTAAGTCTGGTGTCAGGGCTAGAGAAAACTGGACTAGTAGTATCGCTACATCATTTCTACCCCCTTGTCCCCCCCTCCCCCCTTACCGCTTCAGTACTCCGCACCATAAAGTATCACTACATCATTTCTACCCCCTTGTCCTTCCCCCGCTTTAGTACTCCACACCATAAAGTATCTCTACATCATTTCTACCCCCTTGTCCCTCCCCGCTTCAGTACTCCGCACCATAAAGTATCACTACATCATTTCTACCCCTTGTCCCTCCCCCGCTGCAGTACTCCGCACCATAAAGTATCACTACATCATTTCTACCCCCTTGTCCCTCCCCGCTTCATTACTCTGCACCATAAAGTATCACTACATCATTTCTACCCCCTTGTCCCTCCCCGCTTCAGTACACCGCACCATAAAGTATCACTGCATCATTTCTACCCCCTTGTCCCTCCTCGCTTCAGTACTCAGCACCATAAAGTATCATTTCTACCCCCATGCCCCTTCCTGCTCTCACTGGCAACATTTCCAGTGACATCTCTTTTGTCACATATCTGTCTCGTCCAGATCTGGCATTTCTAATCTGCTCTGTATGTTTTAAGTTTTGATGTGTATAAAGTATCAGTGCTACAGCCTGCTGTGACCCTCAGAGAGACTTGGGATTAAAGAGGCCACTTTAGTACTGTCTGGTAAATTACAGTAGGGTGTTTATGTAACATCAGCTGGGAGCAGATCAAGTTGTACTAGGCTCTGATGTAGTCCTATCTGGTTACCAGTTCATTCAGGACAGACAACACGAAGTATGGTTGCATGGAGTTCTAATGAATACTGTATAATATAATGTTACTACTGAAAATCAGGCGCAATAAGTCAATCATTCAGAGTAATGTTCTTTTTATGTATATTGTAAAACCATGTAGACCTACAAAAACGTATATAGGTTTGTTTAAAGTGTTAACCCTTTCACCCCTATGTAACTTTAGTAAACTTTACCATGCATTGATCTGGATGAGTCTATTACGGTCCAGTGTGGTGAAAGGTTAAAGGCTGTATTAATAGCTAGACTGTCTTATTTAATAAACCGTTTCCGTATTTGACATTAGGGCCCCAGCCACAGGTAAGTGACGAGTGTCGGGCGACTTTAACAACATATGTGATATTTATGGCGCTATTTATCCTACGCGGCAGAAACACTGTACGACGGCCTCTGTATCTTACTCCTAACTAAATTCCCCATCAATTAAACAGTAATCGCTCTGAAAGTTTTGCATTGGCCACTGCATCATCAGATAATATTTCAAAGCAGCATGGTTTCTTTCCTTTAATTACTCATCAGAGATGTGATAACGGTACAAACATGGTGGCATGTTGTCTTACAAAACCAACCTGATCCCTTCCAGCAAAAAATGTAGTATAAGGGAAAAATGTCTAATTTTCGAAATAGAGAATTCAGAAATTCTAGTCAGGCTGAAATGCTCCCCTCCCCATCTAGACAAAGCCTTTTCTTGTGAATCATCACTCCGTTTAATTGGTGTTATTTAAGTTCCTCAGATTTTATCGTCACGGTGACAAGTTGAATTAAGTATACCTGCTGCTTGTCTGAAAATTGCTGAGTATTTGGATGGGAAACAAATCAAGTCCATTGGATGAGAAGAATATAGGTATAATCAAACCTGTTGAATAAATCTTCTTTTTTTTCCCCAATCTTCCTGTACAATGGCAGGTGGAAAGACTCAGCTCATTTTAAAACCTTGAAAGAAAATAAGTAAACAATATGTAAATTATTTATTTGAACCCTAGAACCTGCCAATCCCTACAGATCATAGTGAACTACTCCTGATGAATGGAATACACAGGTGACTGTGTACACATAGGTGTGAAAGGTCACCACTGATGGATAAGAACTGATTCATTGGGATGGTACTTCCCAAGCTTTAGGTATACCGTATTTGACCTAGATGTGACACATCGACTAGAAAAGATGAAAGTAACATTCGTAACCACATGCTGGTTATACACAGACATTTTCGCACAGTTTAACGTTTTCGGTCTCCATAATGAGGACAAATTTATCATGACAGCGAATATTGGTACTTAACATACCCTTTATAGTCGTTACATGTGAAAGGTGAATCTTACACTGGGCTCATATGGATTTTACCGATGAAGGGCTAAAGTTGGTTATTAGGATAAAAATTGACAAGTTTGCTATAGACAATCAATGATGAATTAGTAGAAAATGGCTCATGTAGACCGATACAGCTACTGAACAATTGACAGGGTTTAGATTTGACAGGCACTATAACAGAACATATGTATAAAGAAAACTCTTATATAGTGTTGAAATGTGAGGTGTTTGTTAAGTAGATATGCTAATAAAAGGGTGGTTATTAGGAAGGATTGACATTGGTGTCAATTGGGAAACAGTAGTTTTTAGATGGGGAGAGATGAGGGTATAGGGGTGTTATTAGGATGTGTTGTGTAGTAGGTAATACAGTACAGTATGTTTAGGGGGGTGGGGTGGGGGGTGTTATTAGGAAGTGATTTGCAGTATGGGTATTGGGGAGGGGTGTTATTATTAAGTGTTGTGTAGTAATTACTACAGTACTGTATGTTTAGGGGAGGGGGAGGGGTGTTATTAGGAAGTGATATGTAATATGGGTATGGGCCATGGGGGAGGGGTGTTATTAGTAAGTGTTGTGTAGTAATTACTACAGTACTGTATGTTTAGGGGAGGGGTGTTATTAGGAAGTGTTGTGTAGTAATTACTACAGTACTGTATGTTTAGGGGAGGGGTGTTATTAGGAAGTGTTGTGTAGTAATTACTACAGTACTGTATGTTTAGGTGAGGGGGCGGGGGGTGTATTAGGAAGTGATATGTAATATGGGTATGGGCCATGGGGGAGGGGTGTTATTAGGAAGTGTTGTGTAGTAATTACTACAGTACTGTATGTTTAGGGGAGGGGTGTTATTAGGAAGTGATATGTAGTATGGGTATGGGCCATGGGGTGGGGTGTTATTAGGAAGTGTACTGTTTGTTTACTTAGGTGTAATTACATTAGCTGTATCAGACCAAAGATATGTATTATGCAGATGTGAGATAAATAGGTTGGGTATCGGGGAGTGTAGCTATATATACACAAAGTAGGGTGTAAAGATAATTAACTACCTGTTGTTCTAATGCACAAAAATTAGAACACTTTTATAAATTACTTTACAGTTTATATTTTCATAGTTGATTTATTTTTAAAGATGATAATGAAAATGCTTCCTGATAAAAAGTGAAATGTGCATTTTAAAAACTTTTTGTTCCTCTTCAGAATCTGGAACAGATTTCTGATACATAATCGTTTAACGTTTAACGGTATACCAAAAAGACGTGTTAATTCTCTTTATTGGTTCAAAACTCATATTTTGCCTGAAGGTTAGCCAATCATCTTTTTTTTCATGTCTAAAGCCAAATTTGTATATTGCAGAAACTATCATTACCGACGGAGAAAACACTTTCAGTCTGCACTGTGAAATGCTGAGGTGCCCCAAAACGATTATAAACAGTGCTGGGGAAAAAATTGGTTGAAATTCAAAAGTTAGGTTTAGTTGGGTAGCTTGAAACCCATTTCTTTGACCTAAGAATGTGTCATATGACCAAACCACAACTTCATTGAAATGTATGAGGTGATTCTGTCATGAGATTTAGAAATTGTATGACTTTAAAAGTGAGCATAGACCAGATCTGTTAAATAAGGAAACAAGGACTCAAATCTTGGTGTTACCATAGTCCAGATCTGTTAAATAAGGAAACAAGGACTCAAAGCTTGGTGTTACCATAGTCTAGATCTATTAAATAAGGAAACAAGGACTCAAAGCTTGGTGTTACCGTAGTCCAGATCTGTTAAATAAGGAAACAAGGACTCAAAGCTTGGTGCTACCATAGTCCAGATCTGTTAAATAAGGAAACAAGGACTCAAAACTTCGTGCTACCATAGTCCAGATCTGTTAAATAAGGAAACAAGGACTCCAAGCTTGGTGCTACCATAGTCCAGATCTGTTAAATAAGGAAACAAGGACTCAAAGCTTGGTGTTACCAAAACTTCACAAGTTGTCTAGTCAGATCTACGATCAGAGAAAACAGTTTCACAAAATGAAAATTCTCAAATTATTTTAACGATTGTTTGAAAATCTCAGGTATAAAGTATCAGATGGGTGGTTATAACTGAAATACTTAGAACTATGTACTATGTAGACATATAATGACAGTTATACATAGGTCTGTACAGTAGCTACACTGACCTCACATAGCCTATGGGGGTCTAGGTCATGACCTGAGGTAGGAGAAAAGGTGGCATTCCTTGGTCATTATTCAGACAGTACCTAGCTGTAGACAGTTATTATGTATACTTGTGACTTGCATAAGCCCAATGTCCACTATAATATAT